ACTGTGTGGTGACTTTGTGATCCACCCTGAGCTTGCTTTGCTTTGCTTTGCTTGACTGGTCTTGTGACCCCTTGTTCTCCCCCACTTTGCCTATGGGGGTGTGTCAGATTACTATAGCTGATGCATGTTTGTAGGCTATAGTGGGGTAGCACATGTGGGGTACAGCTTTCTAGGGTTGTATTTGTACCCAACCCTGACTTAGTCATTTCATTCCTGTTTGCTTATTATCACACATTAGTGCAAGAAGAGGAGCTGCCGAGCGATTTTCATAAACTATTGGCAGCTGTACCACCCGAACTTCAGGCACTACTGAAACGATTCCCGGGTATCTTTTCGGATGACTTACCACAAAGGCTGCCACCTCAGCGGGCGCATGACCATAGGATCGAGTTAGAGCCGGGGGCACAGCCAACTGTACAGCGCCAGTTCAGACTGACACAGCCCGAGCTCGACGAACTAAGGAAGCAGTTAGATTATCTGTTAGAGAAGCAGTTTATCCGACCGAGCTCGTCACCGTTCGCCGCACCGATACTGTTCACACCGAAAAAAGACGGAGGGTTTCGCATGTCCATCGACTACCGAGCGCTTAACAGGGTAATAGTCAAATCACGGTACTCCATCCCCCGCGCCGACGAACTGATCGACCAGTTACGAACCGCACGGGTATTTTCGAAAATAGACTTACGGGGGGGTTACCATCAGATTCGGGTCGAACCATCGGACTGCGCCAAGACAGCATTTAGAACTAGGTACGGGTCATTCGAGTATACGGTGATGCCTTTCGGGCTGACCAACGCGCCCGCCACATTTCAAATGACCATGAACGAAGCGTTTAGACCACTTTTAGATAAATGCGTGATAGTTTACCTTGACGACATTCTCGTTTACATTCGGGACAAGCAGCAGCACTTAGTCGATCTCGAAGCAGTTTTTAAAATTTTAGCGGAACATCGGTTACTCACCAAGGGCTCCAAGTGCGAGTTTTTTCGGGACAGGCTATAATTTTTAGGACACGTTATTTCGGAGGCTGGAGTTGAAATCGACCCTAAGAAGCTGGACACTGTCAACGCGTGGCGTCCCCCGACGAACATCACGGAACTGCAGAGTTTTTTAGGGTTCGTTAATTACGTCCGTCGGTTCGTCCCCGACATGGCACGCTTAACAGCCCCACTCATAGATTTACTACGAAAGGGGGTCGTTTTTACGTGGGGGGAGAAAGAGCATGCTGCCTTCTCTGCCCTGAAAACTGTTCTCTGTTCACCACCCGTCCTACGCATCGCTGACCCACATCGCCCCTTCGAGGTTGTTACAGACGCGAGCGACATCGCCATCGGAGCCGTACTGTTACAGGACTTCGGCAACGGCCTCCAACCCATCGCCTACGAATCACGCAAACTGCATCCGCCTGAGCAAAATTACCCGATACACGACCGCGAAATGCTCGCGATCGTGCATGCATTCAAAGTGTGGCGCTGCTACTTGACCGGCGCAGACGTGACAGTACGGACAGACCATCGATCCCTACAGTACCTCCGTGCACAGCCCCACCTCAACCCACGACAGATTCGGTGGCTCGACTTCCTCGAGTCGAACTTCCATTATACGGTCACCTATAAAAAAGGAGCCTCGAATATCGCCGACGCACTGACCCGCCCCACTGCCCAGATCCATGCGATACTACTCGCCCAGACCAGTCCGCTACTGACAGGACTATTTACCCACGGATATCAAACAGACCCATTCTTCACAGGAGGAAACTCGCAGCAATTCGCAGCAGCCAAGGGAGTCTATTACGTAAAAGCTGGAACCGACCGCATGTGGGTACCAGGGTACACACTACTACGGGAATTACTGTTACAGGAGGCACACGACGGAGTTACCTCGGGACATTCCGGAGTAGAGAAAACACGGCAGCAACTGCAGCGGTACTATTACTGGCCTGAAATGTTGACCGACGTGCAACGACACGTGGCATCGTGTCCCACTTGCCAGCTCATGAAGTCAACCAGGAAGCGGCCGGCGGGACAATTACAACCAATCCCACCTCCAGAGCGTGCTTGGCAACAAGTGACGATGGACTTCGTCACGGGGTTACCAGCCGGGGCGAGTGGGAATGACGCGATCCTGGTCGTCGTCGATCGACTGACGAAAATGGCACACTTCGCAGCCTGCAAGAAAACAATCACAGCCGAGGAAACAGCCCGACTCTTCATCACCACCGTCGTTCGACTGTACGGGATACCAGCATCGATCATCAGCGACAGAGACACGAAGTTTACCAGCAATTTCTGGCGGAACCTGTGGCAGCAGTTCGGCACGCGACTACAATTCAGTTCATCGTATCACCCCGAAACCGACGGACAGACAGAACGGACAAACCAGACCATGGAGCAGCTCATTAGGGCTACGTGCGACGACCCAAACACGTGGGAGCAGCAGCTGCCACTCATCGAATTCGCATACAACAACGCGCCATCTGCCACGACCCAACATTCGCCGTTTTACCTGAATTACGGACAAGACCCCACAGTACCCATGACCCCAAATCCCGACAACCCTGTTCCACGTGCGCAACAATTTGCCGAGATTTTGCAAGCAGCACGGACCAGGGCAGCAGAATCAATCAAAAAAGTCGAACATCATCGCTAAACGCAACGCCGACCGCCACCGCAGACCTGTCACTTATCAGCCCGACGACCTCGTTTTACTCGACACTCAAAACCTCTGCCTGCCCATGACTCCAAAACTCCGCCCCCGATACTGTGGGCCATTTCGAATTAGCCACATGATCACACCTGTCACCGCGCACCTCCTCCTCCCTGCTGACTGGTACGTCAGCCCCTCGTTCCATGTCAGCTTGCTTCGCCCTTACGTACCATCCACCGGCCAACTCCCACGACGCCGACTATCCAGCATGGCACGACCACCATCCGAACCAATCATCACCCCCGACAAAATCCTGAGTCACAGAGTTCGCGACCCCCGAGGAGCCCGAAAGATCGAGTTCCTGATCCGCTGGAAAGACCGTACACCTACCGAGGACAACTGGGTTCCCCTGGACAGAATTGAAAACCACCCTGTCCTCACCGAATATCTGCGCAGCAGAAACTTCAAACATGTCCACACACTTTCGTAAGAAGGACCTCCTTAGGAAGGGGGGGGTAGTGTAAGGAAAATCCCTTTTCCTTACTTCGCATCCCTGCTCAACGCGTACATCACTGTAGCACCTCAGTCAGCACCGTTACCACTCGCGATCATCGCATCGACAATCATCCCGCCATTTTTCGCACATCGCATCCCGACCTCACGGCTCGGCTGGTAACCCGCGCTCCGGGCCTACGCCTCGACACTTTCCCAACCTCAGTCCCAGGCTCGTCGCGCGACTACCACAGACCATTACCGTTACCACTGTAGTTTCGCTATATATTCTTCTCTCACACCCTCGCTCATTGTATCCTTGCTTCGATAGTGCAATTCTCGTTCGTTCACTCAATTGCACTCGTAACATGTGTGCACAAATGCTGGTGACGAAGGTTCCTCCGCCTTATTCCCTGACGTCAGCCTCGTTCATGGGGCAAGGCAACTGGGTGCAGAGGCTGGAACGCAGCGATTGGTTAACAGCGAGGGTTCTGGGTTCCAAGTCTTGCCAGTGTTTCCCCCCCAACAGTCTTGGGCGGAAACCCAACATCCCGTCAACCACGGGATGACGCAATCAATTTACAGAAGAAGCCACCTCGAAATTACGTGTCATCTGAGGCAGGAGCCTTCGAAGACTCTGGCCTTGGGCTTTTCCCCTAATTCTTCAACGTCAGCAGAGTCGATCGACGGCTAGTGTTGCTCGATCTAGGTGCTCCATGCTCGAGTTGAGGGGCTGCGGAAAGCCAGGAAGCAAACTGCCAAAGAGATGTGACAAGAAACACAAATGTGATTCGGATCACGGAAGCCGACAGACACACACAGCTACTGTACTGGCGGAGAAAGAGGGTTTTGCGTGTACAAACTGATGCCTGATTGAGCCCCTCCCGGTTGCCTTGTGAAGTGGGCGTATAATCTGTAACGTGAATTTCGCATAAGTTTCGATAATTCGCAGCTAGCTAAAAAGGATTCGCAGCTGCTGATATAAAGGATCTGTAACCTTATCCGTTGACATTTTGACTTCAGTCTCTTCATTTTGACTTCAGTCTGTTCGTTACAATTGGTTCATAACCACACGACGCGCTTGTGCCGTGGGTGCAACAGGCTGGGGAAAAAACCTCGGGTGCAGCGTTTCCATCCGGTACAGAGCAAGTTTGCGTGAATGGGGTGAGCAAATCCGTACTGTACTGTGCACGCAAGTCAGCCAGCTCAGGCGGGCACTGTAACCGCTTGAGTGCTTCCTCTTCACGCCACATAAAACTCAACCACGTCAGCGCTCCGCAAAGCCCAAGGGCGGGGCGCAGGCAAGGCAAACCCGCCAACCTCGAAAAGCATGTGTTGCTTTCGGATCCCGCCACGTCTACCCTCACCCTCCGGAACCAACCACTTTCGCACGGCGAGTGACGCAACCAGCCCAGCACTCGAACCTTCCACGTGGTCCCTCACAACCATGCGCTGCGGTCAGTGACGCCATGTACATCCCGGAGCACACCGCGGAAACTGCTGTTACCGCACCTCATCTCTTTATATCATTGGGTTACTCTCACTTCTTGTTCCAATTGGTGAGCATAAATATACAGAACGCTCAATTTCAAGGACCAATTCCAACCCCATTCGCTTCCAACGCAGCAAAGCTAACGGAATCTTTCAGCCAACATCATCAGCTCTCCCGATCTTCGTTCCTGATAAGTAGCAACAGTGTCCGCCGTGTTCCTCAATCACTTCGCTCCTCTCTCTCCCACCACAAGTCCTTCGCCCTAAATTAGAGCAGCGGTGAAACCCGGATTATTGTTCAGTGCGCACTTGGGCGTCCCACTGGGAGCTCAGCACTTAGAGCAGACTCAGCTCCGGAGGCAGGAGGTAAAATGGCGGAGTCCCATGTTGCCAAAGAGCAGCAGCTTGCGCCGCATGTGACGGCGACCAATGCCAGCAGCACGTCGACTATGGAGGACATTCGCAAGAGGTACCGCATTGGCAAGAAGATTGGTACAGGTCGGTTCGGAACGGTCCACGAGGCGGTTGATAGGCAGACAGGTGTCCACGTGGCAGTGAAGACGATCCCTAAGGACAAATACAAATGCGCCGCGATGTCGCTCTTCCGCAAGAAGGACAAGGCGGAGGAGGAATCCACTCTCCGCCTGCTCCGCGGAGAGGCGGAAATTAGCCAGGCGATCGGCGGAAAGCACGGGAAAGGGCAGGCGCAAGGGCAGGCGGAAGGGCGGTCGAATGTGGTGGAGGTGTTATCTGTGATAGAGGGGCGGCGCCACATGTACATAGTCATGGAGCTCTGCCGCGGCGGCTCGCTCGCTAGTTACCTCGAGAAGCGGCGGCGCGGCGAGGTAACGGGCCTCGCACCTGCTGTCCCGACCGCTATCGAATCGTCTGCCGCGGATCGCGGCTACGCGGGGTACGCAGGAGGGAAGCAGATGGCGCACGAGCAGGGTGCAGAGTCGGAAGGGGAGGCGGAAGTGGAGTCTTTCGCCCACCGCCTCCGCCAATTCAGCTCCGACGATCTCTCCGCATCCTCTTCCGCGTCTGACGCGGGACGGGAGAGCGATGACGATCACGACGCAGTGACCGCGGCGAGCCGACGCGAGGCCGCAAACCACGGGATCTCCCCCGCTACATTCGCCGCTACCGTGGGTTATTCCGCCCTGGCCTTCCTCGAACGCGGCGCGTACGGCGCGGCGCGACGACAGCAGCAGGAAAGGGAGGACGAGGCGGCGTGGATGGCTTACGAAATCGCGACCGCAGTGGCATACCTACACTCGCAGGGCATCATCCATCGCGACATCAAACCCGAGAACGTGCTCATCTCGCTGCCGCCCGTTTCCTCTTCCGCCGCTACAGCTGCTACAGCCGCTACAGTTTCTACAGTCGCCAGCGCCGCTACAGATGCGCGCGATCATCGCATTTCCCAGCGCCACTCCCGGCACCGAGCCAGCTTGAGCAGAGACGGCGGGGTTTCACTGAAGAAGCGCGTGGCGCTCGTTAGTGTCACGAGCACGCTGCAGCGGTCCACATCGCGTAGAATCACCCCCGTTGCAAGCAACCCCTCGTTAGACGAGCTGTCAGGGGAAGACGAGCACCAGAAGGAGCGTCAACAGCACCACCACAAGCAGCAGCAGCAGCAGCAGCGTGTGCAGCGACAGCGGCTGGTTCTAGCTGATTTCGGATTGGCCGAGAGGGCCAAGGAGGACGGGACAGTGCGACGCGGAATGGTGGGCAGCCCCGCTTACATCTCCCCCGAGGTCGCCGGAGGATTGACCACCAGTTACCCCTCGGATATCTGGGGTATTGGCATCTGCCTCTTCCTGACGCTTTCCGGCGGGCAGTTACCCTTTTCAGGCCGCGACACGAGGGCGCTTTTGAGAAACATCCGGCGGGTGGCGCTGCCAATGGGAACGGCGGCATGGATGGGTGTGTCGAGTGAAGGGAAGGAGGTGGTGAGACAGCTGCTGGCAGCCAAGCCCAGTGACAGGCCGTCTGCTAGGGAGGTGATGGCGATGCCGTGGGTGGTGGAAGGGCGGAACAGGTGGCTGCAGAGGCACTATGGGCAAGAAGCGATATGGGGTGGGGAGTGCTGAGACCTGGTGGTGCTTATATCGAGATAAGAGAGGCTGCTGCAGTGGAGTATGCTCAGAGCCCAAGATAGATACCTGGAATAACACAATTTAGCCAATGTCAGGAGCAAATACCGTACCTAGTCAGGAGATGCATCATGCATGGGTTTTCTTTGCTTGTTGAAAAGAAGAAACTTAATTCCTTTTTGTATTAAATAATCTATACTGGAAAATAGACCTTTCATTACCATTTCATTTTACTGCTTCCTTTCTGCGCCTGCCTTTCCTTCCACAATGAAAAAGCTAAACAGCTCCCCAAAGGCCCGTCCAAACAGCAGCTCAATGGTCTCATAGGTGTTGGGCTGAAAAACCCTTAGGATCTTTGCAGGGGTGAACTCTGGGTAGAGTTGGTGTAGTAGCGGAAGCGTTAATTAAAGGGTTGTGAACCACCTTGCGCTAGTATGTGAGGGCAAAGTAAGTTGATTAAAACAGGTGGATACAGGTTTATATATGAGTACAAGGAATACGAAGAGATGCTGTTATACCGTCTCCCCCCGGATATAAGCGCCACCCTAGGATAAGCGCCTGGCGCTTCTAATTGGCATATGGTGCTTATATCCCCTCCTCGATTATAAGCGCACCCCTTGAAAAAACTTGTTTTATTATAAGCGCACGTAAACTTTAAAATTTGAAATGTGTTCAAAAAGCTGTAACGATTTTTACTTTAGCAGGCGGATATGTTGCAGAATCGGTTCCCTTCACATTCGGACCCTGCACTGGATGCGGGTCCAGTCAGCAGGACCTGTCAGGAGCTGGATGTGAGTCAGATTGGGTGTATCTCCCAGCGCGCGCGAGAATTTCACAGACGATCCCATGTAACTTCGACTCGATTGAAAAGGCAAGCACGAGACCTACAGTTTGGTGTTAAAAGATATAAAAAAATATGTATGTCATTTTATAAACGCCGGCGCTTATAAATTTACTCGATTATAAGCCCACCCCCATGAAAAAACCTGTTTTATTATTGCCCCCCATGGGGGTATATCCGGGGGGATACGGTAACTGTATTGCTGTTTTGGTTTGATACAGTGACGACTCGGGCAACTGCTCTGTAGCGAGTCAGTTGTGTGTACTTGCTATCGCGCTGTATTTGTCAGGTCAAAGGTAGCTGACCTTCGCGTAACCTCCAACAGTTACTTACAACCTCCGAGGATTGACTCGCCGGTGATTCGTTATACTTCGTTTCTTTTGTGTTTCGACACGACAGGCGCTTAGGACCGATTGTTTCCAACAATAGGAACAGAGCAGAAAGCATGCAGACAATCAGGAACACCATCTCAATACGGGTGTTACTATAGATGCTTAGTAAAGTGAAACTGTACTGCTGTAGTGTAGGCAAAGTGATCCCACATTCTTTAGAGGACAGTCAAGTCCTGGAAAGGCAACCAACCAACCAAGTGCCCCATTTCTTGCAGCTTATGGTACATGAAAATTGATAAGCTAAGCAGCTCCCTCAGTGTCCAAACATCACAACCCGATGCATGCGAACTCTAAAATGGGGAGCTGTAAAAGAATATGGTGGCAGTAACGGTACACGATCAGAAACACAAGAACAGATCGGCATTACTGGGCAATGCCAAATGGCGAAGACATTTATGAAGTTTATCCCAGGTTGCGTGGAGAGATGGGATGGGGGATGAGGAGAGGCGCGCAGTGAGACAGTTATTGAGGCGCCTACGGTATCGTGTCAGTCTATCGGCTTGGATATGGAAATTTCTACGCGCGAAGTAACGACGAGGGGTCAAAGCTTATCCCAGGGGGCATGGAGAGGGAGGGGGTGGAGGGGATGAGAAGCGGCGAGTCGGGGGAGATGCCCGCTCCCTGCCGTTGCTGCCGCTGCCGCTGCTTCTGCTGCTCCTTGCGCCGCTGCACAAAGTCAAAGAATGCCTGCACCTGCTTCGTGTACCTGCAGTAATACACACGGTGGTGGGTGGAGAGAGGTGGAAAGTGGTGGAAAGTGGTGGAAGGAGGTGAATGCATGGTGATAGGAGCGCATAAGGAGTGGCAGAAAGGGATGGAATGAGGTCACATCAATGCAGGCAGAGACAGGGAAGCAATGGCAAAGGAGATTGAGGATAAGAGAACTGAGACAAAGGGGAAAAGCAGAAGACGGGACTGAGGATAAGCGGAAGATGAGTCAAGTCGACGAATGGGTGGGAAGAATTGATATGTTGTGATTGATGCTGCTGCGAATGTAGCACGGCAGGCACAAACGCAGGGAGATCGCACATGAAAACGGCTGCTGCAGAGCCGCACGTAAAACGTGCGGGAAGGAGGGTTTGGGCTAGGGATCTCACATTTCCTTTGCGTCTTGGTCGCGAATGAGGTCGATCTGAGCGTCGCAGTCCAGCACCAACGCCGGCACCTGCACGCACCGCACACCCAGGGCATAAATGGACCTTACATTGAAGGTGCCTAAAGAAATGAGCAGCACAGCCGAGAAACGACACACTATTGGATGCATGTGCTTCTGCATGCATGTGCTTCTGCATGCATGTGCCTCAGCATGCATGTGCCTCAGCATGCATGTGCCTCAGCATGTATGTGCTTCCGCATAAAACTGCTTTGCACGAAAACCCACGGCTAGGCATAAGCTTTCTTCAACCCACCACTGGCCCTCTCACCTGCTGAATGCTCGAGTGCAGATGCTCGCCCTCAAGAGCAAACACCCGCCCCTTGATGATCTCCGGTGTATCATCCTCCTCCCCTCTCCCCCCACCTCCTCCCCCTCCCCTTCCTCCCCTTTCCTTCAACCAATCGGGCTGCACAACAGAGAATCTCGGCCTCTCCTCGGCCGACTCAACCGGCAGCAGCCACTGCTCGTGCTTGTTGTGCAGGTCAGTCAGGTAGTCCAGGGAAACCCCCGCCTCCTCGCCTCGTGCGCGCTGCTTGAGGCGTTGGTGGCAGGTGTGAGGGTTGGCGCGCAGGTAAATGAATCCGTCTGGTACGAGGCCTGGCAGTGCCGCCACCACGGGGTCGAACCATGAGTCGTATATGCTCACCTCCATGGCACTCATCCACTTGGCCTCGTGCACTGCTCTAACAAATACCTGGAGAGGGAGGGGGGGCGGGAGGAGGGAGAGGGGGGTGACGGGAAGGGGAGGGCAGTGCTGCCACCACGGGGTCGAACCATATGTCGTATATGCTCACTTCACTTCCTGTTGAAAGAAGGAGTGTTTTGAGACGTCTCAAAACGTATATGCTCACTTCACTTCCATGGCGTGCATCCATTTCGCTTCATGCACTGCCCACACAGCTTACAAGAATACACCATTTCTCACCTCCCCACCTCCCATCCACCACTATGCTGCTGAGCACCGATTGCTGCATCAGCCTGATAACCCCATACTGCTCCTCCTCATTCTGAACCCCCAAGCACTATTCAATCGCTCAACACGGATCGTTTCATCTGCCGGATGGGCCTTGAATCGACTCAGAATGCATTCCACCCCTTCCCTCTCCTCCCTCCCCCTGCTCCTGCCCCCCATTCCCCCTTCCCCCACCCCATAACCTCCCCCCCACGCACCATTCTATCGCTGAACACCGATCGCTCCATCAGAAGGATCGGCCGCACCTTGACTCAAAAACCATTCTCCCCTCCCCTCCCCCCACCACCCTCCCCATCCCATGCCCCCGATTCTCCCCCCCTCCCCACCCCCACGCACCATTCTATCGCTGAACACCGATCGCTCCATCAGCCTGATCGGCCGCACGCGCCCGGCGCTTTCGCGCTCCTGCATCATCCGCGTTACAAACACGTAGTTCTGGAACGTATAGGCGTACCGCTCCGGCTCCTCGTAAAACGCCTCCAGAATGTTGAACTTCTCCTGCCCCACGCTCTGCCAGCGCGCCACCGGCTCAGGCACCACCTCCACTAAGTCATGCAGCTTCACCGCGTCGCCTACTATTCGTTCTAAGAACGTCGTCTTCCCCACGCTTATATTCCCCTCCACGCAAAACGTGAGCCTGTTTTTGTGTCTCCCTAGGCTCCGCCCCTTCCCCGCGCCTCCCTCCGCCTCCCCCGCGCCGGCTTCCCCCGCGCCCTCCCCCGCGCCTTCCCCGTCCGCCCCCGCGTCGTCCGCGCCCGCTCCGCCGCCCTCCTCCTGCGCGACGCGCAGGCAGACGAAGTCCGTGATTCGCGCCGCGTGGTCCCGGCGGATGATGCCCACGTGGCTCTGCAGATACTCCTGCATCGCGCTCCGACCCTTGGAAGATTCCTGGAAGGCGAACTGTGAAGACGGGAAGGAAGGGGATAGCAGAAAGAGGAGGAGGCGGGGGGGTGAATATTAGGGACAGAAATAAAACGTAGTTCGGTCGTATCCCCACTCTCTCTCTCCTCCTTACCAAGAGTCCCAGCGCGACTATCTCACCTTATCTCTGTACAGTTGAGTCAGATTCGCGACTTCGCGAAACCCCCTCGCTTTAAGCTTCGCCAGGTTTCGCGGCCCTACGCCAGGCACCGTTAGAAGGTCGCTCCATACGATGCCATCGCCGTCCGACCCAAACCCTGTCAAACCTAAACCCCCGGCTCGGCGCCTCCTCACCGCCAAAACCGTCTTCCGAACCTCCTCCTTAGTTTCGGAAGCATCCCTGGAGCCAGCTTCGGCAGTAACAGTGCTAGAATCGTCCGAGAGTGCTTTTGCTGCCGGTACGACTGCCGTTTTTACAGCGTTTTGCTGTGCTTCGGAGGTTGATTCGGAGGGTGCTGCTTCGGAGGGTGTGTGGTGTCCGTCAAGTATTGTGTGCTCTACCTCCGACGCACTCTCGCGTTGGGAATGGCTGGCTCTCGCGAACTGACGGACTCGTATTGACGGCGATACACGGCGAGGAGCGAGCGAAGGGGACACGGATGACGATAACGAGGACGACAGCAACGAGGATGAGGATGCGGGTCGCGATGAGGAGAACGGTCTGCAGGAATTCGGATAGTGGGAGGAGCTGTGGAGAGACGAACTAGGGTTTGAAGGAGCCCGGGCTAGGCTCGTGGATACGAGCGCCCTGCTACCGTAGGTGGGTGTAACGGCTCTGTGACTGTAGCAACGTGTGAAAATAGAGCAAGGAGAAGCGCCGCTGCTGCTGAGGGAGTCAGTGTGGGATGAGGAGATGAGCGAGGAAGCTTGTGGTGGATTAACGCGGGTAACAGAAGATGACTGTTGAGTCGACTGAAGGATGATCGACGGTTGCGGGTGGACGAAGCGGCACGCCATAGCCGCGTCCGGGGGAGCTAGAAGCGAGGAGAGGACGCGGGTAGCGCGCTTGCTCTTACATACAGCTGCTCTCATCGGTCGGTTTAGGGACGTGGTGGTTCGAAACGCGAAACTAACGCGCATGGTTCCATGCGCGTAGTGCTAGCTGATCCTACTGCATGGTGTGAATCAACTATACTTGAACGGTTAGCGAGATGAGACGAAGGAGGTCAGAGGGTACAGAGATTCAAGGAACTTTCACCAGTTCGAGAAACTCCCGTTCTACTGGTTGCGATCACCTCGCCTAACCAGTTGCTGGTAGAAGGAATCAAACGCCTTCAAACATCATGAGACTAAGACCCTGTGGAGCTAGCAGGCGTTTGTCTGAGGTGTAGCAGCACCAGCTTCCTAAAAAAGCGTCATTTGCATTGCAACTCCTGCTCCATTTTGTGTGAGGGGCTTTTTGAGAGGGAAGCGCAACCGAGATTCCAGTGTGCTATCACCTAGGAGAGTTCCACACCTCGAAGTTGACAGACTGAACCGAAGCAGAACGCAGGGGAGCTGACCGAACCTAGGAGTATTTTTGGTTTGAAGGACGTGAGGGGAAATCAATAGGCGCGCCAGAGTGGTTCGTGGAGGTGCACATTACCGCTTGCACTAAAGCGGATGATGATTCGTTAAAGGTTTCCAAAATCTTTTATGAATCAAGAATATTAAACGGTATCTGGAAAAAGGACAGTACATGTTACAAAGAAATATCTCCTCTACATGCAAGTACCTACTATAACGTCAAGTCATTATTGCTTTAGCTCCTGCTCAGAGACTTTCGGCAAAGTATTATTGCTTATGGCTTGACCAATACGCAATTCTGCCTCATGCAATAGTAGTCATTACCATCATCAGCTAGACGCTTGCAGTACCAGAATGCAACGCAACTTATCCACACCCGTATCCTGCATGCACAGCAGGGCACAAACATATATGTGACTCAAACAACCAATGTATTTGTGAAACACCCACACGCAACGTAAGAGACATGCTGGATGAGAGACATCCACAGCACAGAGAGCAGGTTGCTGGGTTCAGAACGACGTTGCTGTCACTTCACCCTCAAAGCCATGTGGATAAACTCACCCTCCTCTGGGTATGCTCCCACTCACCCTCCTCTGGGTATGCTCCCACTTACCCTCCTCTGGTATGCTCCCACTCACCCTCCTCTGGGTATGCTCCCACTCGCCCTCCTCTTGGTATGCTCCCACTCGCCCTCCTCTTGGTATGCTCCCACTCGCCCTCCTCTGGATATTTTCCAACGGATTAACCTCCCTTCCTCTGACTCACCCACCCAAGGGATTAACCTCCCTTCCTCTGTCTCACCCACCCAAGGGATTAACCTCCCTTCCTCAGACTCACCCACCCAAGGGATTAACCTCCCTTCCTCTGACTCACCCACCCAAGGGAATAACCTCCCTTCCTCCGACTCACCTACCCAAGGGTTAACCTCCCTTCCTCTGACCCACCCACCCAAGGAGTTAACCTCCCTTCCTCTGACTCACCAACCCAAGGGACTAACCTCCCTCCCTCTGACTCACCCACCCAAGGAAATAGCCACCCATCTTCTTACTCACCCACCCAAGGGATTAACATCCCTTTTTCTGAATCACCCTCCCAAGAGATTAACCTCCCTACAGCCAACTTCCCTCACATAACCCCCTTTGCCTCCCACCCAGACACCCAAGGGGCTTCAGCCCCTTTTCCTCCCACCCAAACACCCAAGGGGCTTCAGCCCCTTTTCCTCCCACCCAGACACCCAAGGTGCTTCAGCCCCTTTTCCTCCCACCCAGACACCCAAGGGGCTTCAGCCCCTTTTCCTCCCACCCAGACACCCAAGGGGCTTCAGCCCCTTTTCCTCCCACCCACACACCCAAGGGGCTTCAGCCCCTTTTCCTCCCACCCACACACCCAAGGGGCTTCAGCCCCTTTTCCTCCCACCCACACACCCAAGGGGCTTCAGCCCCTTTTCCTCCCACCCACACACCCAAGGGGCTTCAGCCCCTTTTCCTCCCACCCACACACCCAAGGGGCTTCAGCCCCTTTTCCTCCCACCCACACACCCAAGGGGCTTCAGCCCATTTTCCTCCCACCGAGACACCCAAGGGGCTTCAGCCCCTTTTCCTCCCACCCAGACACCCAAGGGGCTTCAGCCCCTTTTCCTCCCACCCAGACACCCAAGGGGCTTCAGCCCCTTTTCCTCCCACCCAGACACCCAAGGGGCTTCAGCCCCTTTTCCTCCCACCCAGACACCCAAGGGGCTTCAGCCCCTTTTCCTCCCACCCAGACACCCAAGGGGCTTCAGCCCCTTTTCCTCCCACCCACACACCCAAGGGGCTTCAGCCCCTTTTCCTCCCACCCAGACACCCAACGGGCTTCAACCCCTTTTCCTCTCACCCACACACCCAAGGGGCTTCAGCCCATTTCCTCCCACCCACACACCCAAGGGGCTTCAGCCCCTTTTCCTGCCACCCACACACCCAAGGGGATTCAGGCCCCTTCTCTCTCACACTCAGCCAAGGGGATTCAGGCCCCTTCTCTCTCACACTCAGCCAAGGGGTTTCAGGCCCCTTCTCTCTCTCACTCACCCAAGGGGTTTCAGGCCCCCTCTCTCTCTCACTCACCCAGGCCCTCCCACCCATTACCTGCCAGCAGTAGGAGCAGCAGAAAGCCCACTTCCTTAGGAAAACAGCACCAACAGAGGCTGTGCCTTGTGGGGTGAGGTGCGGAAGTGGAAAATTGCTTCCAACCCAAGACTCAAATCCCACCCCTGACGTAGCTAGAGCTGACGCGAACCAGAGCCGCCGGCCGGTCGGCTCTGACGGTGCCCATTAAGCCTTAACGTCAGATTGGTTACTTGAGCACCGAGTGCCGTGCCGCACAGATTCCACCCACCACGCCCCGACTCACAAGTCACAACCCCAGAGGATGCTGCCCCTAAGGCAGTGAACTCCACGCTTGCTCCCATGCCCCCACCCACCCTCCCCACACTTCACCCCCATGCGTACTTACCTCTGCCTACCTTAGCCGTGCAGAGCGCCATGATGCTGAGGTTGCTGGGAAGTGGAGAGAAGGGGGGATTAGCAAAGGGAGAGACTCCTCTGTGGTCCAGGCAGGGTGCTGCTGGGAGGGAAGGGAAAAAGGAGAGAGGAGGAGGTGAGTGAGGGGGTGGACTCCACTCTCCCGCCCTGCTCCAGTGCTCCCACCTTCATCCTGCAGGGAGAAGAGGGGGGGTGAAAGAGGAGGGGATCAGCTTATCATACCTCACCTGTAACCTTACCACACCTGTTACCATACCTTACCTTGTACCATACCTCGCGCGCAGCTACATCTAGCCTAGCCAAGCCCCCCACCCCCACTGCTGCTTCTGCTGCTGCCGGTCTGCTACTCTGCTTCACCCTGCCGCTGCTGCTGCCCCTCCCCTACCCTCGGCGGCTGCCCCGCTGCTGCTCTGCTGCTGCCCCCTGCTGCCCTGCTACAGCCTTCAGTGTACCTGGAGGGAGGGGAGAGGGAGGGAGGCAGGGAAGAAAGGGAAAGCAGTGAGAATGGGGAGAAGATCAGGCGGAAGCATAAAGACAGGCAGGGAGTAGAAAACGGAAATAAGCATGGGGAGAAGACCAAGCAGCAGCATGAGTGCAAGAGGGAAAGAGGCTCACCTTGTTCCAGACGACCCAATCCCGATACTCTCCCATCCCATCACGGCCGAGTGGAGTGCTGCCCCCCTCCGCTCCCACCACTGCCACCTGCACGGCCACAGGGGAGGGGCGTGGGGGAGCGTTGGTGTTGACCCCACACCCCCCCCCCGCCACCTGCAAAGCGCACACACAGAGCTAGTCAGAGCGCGGTGGTGGAAGCAAGTTGAATGGGAAACTGTGACTTGAAATCCAGCACAAGGGAAGGGAGGAGGAGGAGCCACTGGTTGAGGCACGACTGCAAGCAACAGACCCAAGGGCACCTGAAAAAAAACCTGAGGGGTGTACCTGCACCTGAGAGGGTTACCTGCACCTGAGAGGGTTACCTGAAGTGGAGGGGTCTGTGGCATGTGAACCGCGCTCAACCAAGGGCATTGTTTCAAAGGGAAGGGCGAAAGCACAACCGGCAAACGAAATGGCAGCAAGAAGGCAAAAAGCCATGATGAGGCGGGCAAGGGTGAGGGCATGAAAGTGGGTGACTTAGCTGATAGCGTGAGGGCGAGGTCAAGACAGCTGCAGCACCACCAGCTGCCTCCCTCCGAAGCAGCCCTCCTCCAGGTGCCTCCTCCCTGCACGGCCACAGGGGAGGGGCGTGAGGGAGCGTCGGTGTTGACCCCACACCCCTCCCCGCCACCTGCAAAGCGCACACACAGAGCTACTCAGAGCGCGGTGGTGGGAGCAAGTTGAATGGGAAACTGAAACTTGAAATCCCGCACAAGGGAAGGGAGAAGGAGCCACTGGTTGAGGCACGGCTGCAAGCTACAGACCCAAGGGGCACCTGAAAAAAAACCTGAGGGGTGTACCTGCACCTGAGAGGGTTACCTGCACCTGAGAGGGTTACCTGAAGTGGACTGGTCTGTGGCATGTGAACCGCGCTCAACCAAGGGCATTGTTTCAAGAAGACTTTGCAACAGCAGATGAAACGAAAGAAACAGTATGCGGGCATGGGGGAACGGGTACTTAGCTGATTGTGTGGTGCAGGCAGAAGTGGGCGAGTGGGCAGGGTGAGGCGGGGCTTTAAGGGACGGACCTGCGAGGAAGAGGAGAAGGGAGAGAGAGATAGAGAGACAGTTAGAGGCAGGTGGGAGGCAGTGACTCTCATAAACGAGAAAACAGGCAGCAGTGTGATTGCAAAATGACGGTGCATGTGAGGCCAACCACAACCCCACAAGAGCCGCTACCAACCTCAACCTGCACCTGAACCTGAACCTGCACCTGAACCTGAACCTGAGGGGGAGTGGGCTCGAGTGGAGTGTGGTGGCAGGGGCGATACTGCAACCTCAACCGTTGATGAGGCCGGCACTGCTGCCCCGCTGCCCGCGCTCCTGCTGTCCGCCCTGGTGCTCCCCTCGCCTGCTGCTCGCCTGCTGCCCTCCCCCTGGCTTGTGACGGCCTGGCAGGGAATGGAGGGGAGGGTAGGGAGGGCGGAAAGGAAAGGCAGCCGAAAGTAAGAGGGGTTGCAATGGAGAAAAGTGTCAAACACACGTGCAACAGCAGAAACGACAGTGCATGTGACGCCGACCAAGGTTCAAAATTTCGGCGAATTTTTCAGATTTAGGGCGAATTTATCGCTATCAAAACTTTCGCCCGAAAGTTTCGGTTAATTTCGCCAAGTTCCCGAATCTCGCCTTTGCTGCGAGATTTCGGCGAAGTTTTCGACGAAATTTTCAAAACTCGCTGGTTGGAGAGGGGAACTAACAAAACGAGGACTGAGTGGGGGTCGATTGAAGATCTAGATCTGGGAAAGCCACCCTCGGCCCAACTTTGAAATTGGTTGGGTTGCGTTTTCTAGATCCAGAGCGGTAATACGCGGTTAAAGCTCGCGGCCCAAATTGTACAACTTTACTAAAGTTGCATGTTGGGAGGTGAGGGAGCAGGGTTGGCTAGTCGAGGTGTTGGGTGGGTTGAGGGCTTTGGTTTCGCCCAACTTCTCGCCAATCTCAAACACATTTCGCTGACTCAGTAGACCCCAGGGGCCACTTCGCGTTTGGTTGCATGAGTCCCATATTGCACAAATACTATCCTTGCCAGTTTCCCACCCAACCCCCTCCGCAAACACTGTTTCAATTTTGCTAGCCAATCAGCTCAGTGTTTCAAATTGACTAGCCAATCAACTTCCTTCGTACAACCCGTAACCTCAATTCGCAAAACCAGCACCTGCAAAACAACTATCAATCAACCTTACTAAGGTTGCCCAGCGCGGCCCGCAAGAGACAGAAATTGGTTGGATGCTCAAATTGTGACGACTTTGTGTTGTGAGGGTCAAATTTCGAAATTGATGAGTTAGGGTTTGTCGTTCGCAAACTCGTCAAGCTTAGTTGACAGTGCTCATACTCACCCCATAGAGTATCACCTTGCAAAATCCGTTTGAATTTCTTAAATACGCTTCTTAACTTCAGGCCGCGCCACGTCATCATGCCTTATTCGCCCTCTCCCCTATATCCATGCGTTTCAAGTGGATATTTGAGTCCCAACATAGTTTCTGGCCCTCGCCTCACCCACCCTCCCTTTTTGTGTTTTTGGGGTCCTAACAAAATTTCGCCGAAACTTTCGCAGCGAAACTTTCGCCTAGCGAAATTTTCAACCTTGACGCCGACCACAACCCCACAAGAGCCGCTACCAACCTCAACCTGCACCTGAACCTGAACCTGAACCTGAGGGGGAGTGGGCTCGAGTGGAGTGTGGTGCGATACTGCAACCTCAACCGTTGATGAGGCCGGCGCTGCTGCCCCGCTGCCCGCGCTCCTGCTGCCCGCCCTGGTGCTCCCCTCGCCTGCTGCCGCCCCCCTGGCTTGTGAAGGCCTGGCTGGGAAGGGAGGGGAGGGAGGGCAGGGCGGAAAGGAAAGGCAGCCGAAAGTAAGAGGGGTTGCAATGGAGAAAAGTGTCAAACACACGTGCAACAGTAGAAACGACAGTGCATGTGACGCCAACCACAACCCCACAAGAGCCGCTACCAACCTCAACCTGCACCTGAACCTGAACCTGAACCTGAGGGGGAGTGGGCTCGAGTGGAGTGTGGTGGCAGGGGCGATACTGCAACCTCAACCGTTGATGAGGCCGGCGCTGCTGCCCCGCTGCCCGCGCTCCTGCTGCCCGCCCTGGTGCTCCTGCTGCTCGCCTGGCAGGGAAGGGATGGGATCGCGGGGAGGGGAGGGAGGAGAGGGGAGGGTCGCGAGGAACGAGGTGAAGGCAGCGGGAGAAGTGGGTGCAAGAGTGAGATGGGGAATGGACAGTGCAGCGTGCGAGACGGCAGGAACAACAGGCAAGACAAGGGAGGGGCCACTGGTGGAGGCACATCCACAAGCCACAGACCCCCAGGGGAACCTGAGGGGGCTGTAAGGCTTTAGGGGGGCTGAACCTGTACCTGATGGGTTCACCTGCAATGGGGGGTGGGGGTCTGTTGCTTGTGAGGCGGGCCGCAACCAGTGGCGAGTATTTCAGGGAGAAACGGTGAGCAGCAACGGTGGGCAGCAAGCGAGGGAGAGTGGAGGGAGGAGAAGGCACTTAGCTGGCGGTTGAAGAAGCGCCGAGCGCTGATGCTGCTGCTGCCGCAGCTGCTGCTCACCCCCACGCCAACGGACGGACAGCCGTGCGACCATTTCGCCATGAAACGGATCGCGGACGACGACTTCACCACGCGCGGACGCGCGGACAGCGATTTCGCCGTGCGACGACGCGCAGACAGCGACTTCGCCGGGGTACATCGCGCGGACGACGATTTCGCCGTGGTACTACGCGATTTCGCCGGGGTACGTCGCGCGGACGACGATTTCGCCGAGGTACGATGCGCGGACAGCCGCCTAACTGGTCGACGTAGACGGACAACCATCTCGCAGAGCAATTGTTCACGCGCGATCGACCGGTCGTCGCGAGTTGAGGGCAATCGTCGCGATCGTCGCGAGTAAAGGGCGATCGTCGCGAGCAGAGGACCACGAGTCGGCGACGGTCGCAGTGAGCCTGCAACGCGCATGGCGACCAAGATATGCGTCAGAAGAGGATAACGGAATCAGGCATGAAGCATTAACACGCGAACCAAAAAGTCGCGAAGCTGAAATCAATGCAGCAACGCTTACATTTCGTTCGCTCGGGATATGTGCAGACGGTCGGCTTGATTCGCGGTGCGGAGAAGCTGTGTGGATGGCGCGTATGGCGTACAACTCTGCCCGCGCTGACGACTGCGGATTTTGCTGCTAATGGCGGAAACCTCGGCTGACGACGGAAGTCGCTGTTACGGCGGAAACCACGGCTGACGGCGGACATCGCTGCTACGGCGGAAACCACGGCTGACAGCGGAAATTGCTGTTATGGCGGAAACCAAGACTGACGGCGGAAATCGCTGCTATGGCGGAAACCACGGCTGACGGCGGACATCGCGGCTGACGACAGCAATCGCGGCCAACGGCAAAATTCGCGGCAAGCATAGAAATCGCTGCTGATGTCGAAGTTTGCTGCTACGACGTTGGAAACAAGCTGCTAACGGCGAGAATCGTTGCTGTTGAGATAAATGTTACCCGCGAGAACCGTTGATAGCGGCTGCATCGTTGCTGCCGATTGCAGAAATTGCTGTTCATGGCGACAATTTCTGCTTACAAAATCGCTGCTAACGCCGAGATGTTGCAACAAGAGGCCCTCTGAGCGTAAGGATTGCTAGGCTAACGACAGAAATCAGCTATGAACGCAAAATCACGCTCCATTCTTGCGCAGATGTTGGAATTTGCAGGTTGCAGTGGCGAGAGAAGCGGAAGATGGAGGAGAAAGGAAGAACAATCGAGTTCCCTGCAACTGCATCCTCACTGCCCCTGCTTTCCACGCCCTTGTGAATGTTGAAGCAGCATTGCTTGACAGAAACTCAGGTGTTGGAATCGGTTGAGATGGTTGCGGAATGGTTTCCTTATGGTGTGTGTCTGGTTATCCTGGCTTCCGCTGATGCCCAACAGGAAGGCCCTGTTCGCCACGCCTTTGCTGGGCCTTCAGAGGGATGGGCGGGGGATCTGGAATCCGCCCTGCACCTTCGAAAAGGGGTGAAATCAGGGTTTTAGGGCCGGTCAGACCGACAAAATCCTGTCGAGCCTGACGATCCCCTCCGAACCTCGGAGGGCTCGCTGTCGTGGCGAACACCCACTTTTCTGGGCCATCGAAGGGATGGGCGGGGGATCCAGAATGCGCCTGGCAGTTTCCTGTCCTGCCAGCTCGGAACCCCATCCCCTCCATCGACTCTCCCTCGTGCAGACCACCAATTTCGTAGGCGCCTAACGGGATGGCCGGGGGATTTGAGGGCAGGGTAAACGCCAACGTGTCACCAGAACCGGCCCGGAACAACAAATTTTCGCCCTCCCGAGTGATAAGACAGCTGCTTCAAGTTCACGGAACCCTAAACGCAACTGTGAAGGACCTTTTCTTTTTTCGACACTTTTTACCCGGGCTGATTTGTTTCTTTTTTTCTCTGGTTGTGGATCAGAGGCGGGAAAAAAGTCCCGCCTAAACGAAGGTGGGGGGGGAGGTGCCAGATCCCCTTGGCCCCCTTCCGGATCCCTTTGGAGAAATTTCCATTCGGGGCGAGCCCCCGGACGTAGTTCGCATCTTCCGGCGCACCTTCTGGAGCTCTCGCCCATCCCCCGCCCCTTGCCTATATCGTGGTCGTGGCGAACAGGGCCGAAGTGTTCAGAACAGCCTGAAGAATCCCAACCAATCCCGAGGTGGGACAAGCGCCCAAGGTGGAAGCAACGTAGACGTGATTTTGCGCATGTGTTTTGCCGCCAGCGCGGGTGATTTTGGAAAAACGGCGGGGTGACGAAACGCGTAGCGAAGCTCTGAACGAGCTCTCACGAAGCATTGGCGACAAAATTACTTCTCGTTTTTGTGTACTTCGAAGTATTTCGCTGGGACGATAGACCATCGCAAACGATCGTGAGTGTCGCCCCGCTCTCGTCAAGCCCAACGGTTCTGGCTATGATTCCGCGGGCTGGCGGACGTGCTCCCCAAAAGGACCTGACACACCAGTGGGTGCGCGCAGACCCTGCGGGTTTGCGGAGCGAGAACTTGGAAAGGTCGTCACGTCATCTGCTCCAACGGTTGGTTCCGAGCGGCGCAATTTGGGGAAACTGCGGAAACCCTTCATAGGCCCGATCCGACATCCAACGAATGAAATGCATATGAGCAGAATTGTTGTCACCTTTCTCTACAACATCTTTCCGTATCAGTATCAGCACACGTACAGTCAAGTCGTTACTACACTCATTGTCTTAGCTACTACAACTTAATGTTATCAGCGTGCAAGCATACGGTACTAGCAAAAGCCTGATGCACTGCACATTGACCTCTGTCAAGATGCAACACTGAACTCAAGAGAGGGATGAAGTTCTGTTTTTGGACATTGCTGATGAAAATTTTACTACTTTCATTTGTATATATATAATCCACATGTGTCCATTTGAAAATTTCAACAATTACCATTTTAATCTTGAACATGAACGTAAGAATTGTTGCATACTCTGTTCAACTTACGGTAATACAAGAAATGATAAGCATAAATGTGGCAATATTATCTTGTAAGAAGTATTGAGATCATTACCGGTCTGCTTCTTAGAATTTGAACCAGGTGTAAATATGCGAGAAAGCAGTTCTTGATTCAGGCTTTACTACTTCGCGCCACGATCTTGCCGCCAAATCTTCGCTTGGGCTGTCAGAGGAGCCGTCCCTGACACCAACAACTTCACCAAACCCAAACCAAAGACCTCCCAGCAAGTGCCTCGAACAATCCATTCACCTTCCCACCCAGCTAGTGCTCTCCTCTTACTCTTCCATACTCTCTCGGCTTATTCCTATTTTCGGCCCAGCTTTCAGTAGTCAAGACTCTTGAACTCCTGGTAGAGACTAATCCGGCTGGAGCGACTGTAGCACACGAAATTCGCGGTTGTAAATGCGCCTTCACGATTCTGCCTTGTGTGGGACCATCGACTCTTCTAGTATTGCGCTCCACCTTATTCATGAGTCGCGACTCGTGTTTTTCTAATTTCATTATGACGCCATCCTTAGGATAGAAATATAATGTCTGGCAACTAGGGTAGCAGGCTTACTAGGCGGCTGTGAAGACGCGGGTGGGATGCGCGACCTTAGTACGCTGCTCAATAGATTAGCGTTTTTCAGTATACGTTTCTAGGACGTGCGATGAATGCGGCCTCAAGCCACCTCATGGGCCAGCGATCGTAGCACCTCCTGATCTTTTTCTTCGATGCCGTTCTAAAACGCTGCTCACTTCCGTCTGTACTCGCCGATTTCTTCTGTAGTCGGCTTTCGCTGTCGTTTGCCAAGTTTGTCTGCGTTTCGCCGGGTGTCCCTGCTGTTAGTCGAGTTCGCTGTCACCTATCGCGGTGTTTCTTAGGCCTTCGACGACTTTCGGTGCCTTCGCGAAGTTCGCTCCCGGCGTTCCCCACGTTTCTCTGTCATTTGCCGAGTTCCGCAGCCGTTTGCCGACTTTTTATTACGTTCTAGACCAGGCTAGGTCGCCACGCGGCAAGTCGTAGGATCCATTTTTGCTTCTTCCTAGTCAGTTTTCTCTGCTGCTTCTGACGCTCTATCCTCTGTGCGTGTTCTTGTGCTGTTGCGAAGAGAAACTCGTGTAGCAAGGAGAAACGCGAATTGCGCGGAGAGTCAAGATTTCGATGAGAAAAGCGGTTTGCGAAGAGAAATGCGGAATGCAAGTAGAATCGCGGATTGCGCGGAGATAACGCGGATCATGCAGAGATCTCGGATAGCGCTGCCAACGCGGATGGCGCGGGCAACGCGGATGGCGCGGGCAAACGGGCTTCGAAAAGGTGCGTGTGCGTGGAACGCGAGTGGGGGCCGCGTATGGCGTAGGAGTCCGTCGCGTAGGTGTCTACACCCTCTTCTGCCGAAATCCTTCTTTGTTTGCTCTCACGCATCTGTACCCTCTTCTGCCCTCTCCTACGCGTGCGCGCTATGTGTGCGTGCAGGGAGCATTGGTGGTGCGGCAAACTGTCTTGGTCAACACGTAAGCCTGCAGGAGCAGTAGCGGCAGGAGCAGAAGCAAGACAATCAGCAGAAGGGGACAGTCCGGTAAGTTCTTGATTGAATCTATCAGGGGGTTCGATCGGTCTAGGTCGCCGCGCGGCAAGTCTTAGAATCGATTCTTGTTTCTCCCGAGTCTGTTCTCTCTGACGCTTCTAACGCACTCTCCTCTGTGCTTGTTCCTGCGCTGTGCTGTGCTGTGTTCGCTGCTCTGCCCTGTTGAGGCCCATGCACGCACGCCTCAACACCCCTGCCTGCCAACGGGTGGTTCGCCCAGCAAGAGGGTCTGCGAGTGATCTCCTTCTGGGCCATCTCACAGGCTGGCTCACAACCGCATGATGGTAAGTCGTTGGGCGGATCTATTGGGGGGAGCAGTCTTAGTCGCCGCGCGGCAAGTCTTAGAATCTGTTTTGCTTCTTTCGAGTTTGATTCCTCTGCTGCTTCTGACGCTCACTCCCCTGTGCCTGTTGCTGTGATGTGTTGCCTGAGGCCCATGCACGAGGCAACTGTCCTGCCCGCCAACGGGTGGTGCTTCCCAGGGAGGGGCTCTGCGAATGAAGGAGGAACCACCATGGCAATACGGTATGTTGTCGGGCGGGTTTATCTTGGGGGGCAGAGCAGTCTAGGTCGCCGTGCGGCAAGTCATAGAATCGCTTCATGTTTTTCCCAAGTCCTTTTTGTCTGCTGCTCCTGACGCACTCTCTTCTATGCCTGTTCCCGAGCTGTGTTGGCTGCTCTGGGTTGGGATTCGCCGTGTCTGAGGCTCAAGGATTCCGGTGCGAGTGAGGAGTGACGGTGGAAGGTGCGAGTGAGGACTGAGGACCGAGGGTCCGCCTTCTCAGAATGGTGAGTGGCTGGGCAGGTCTATATGGGTCTATCTAGGTCGCCGCGCGGCAAGTCTTACAATCAGTTCTTGTTTCTTCTGAGCCCGTTTCCGTTGCTGCTTCTGACGCACTCTCCTCTGTGCTTGTTCCGCTGCCCCCTGCACTGGGTCCTGCCAGGCGTTGGTGTTTCTCAGAGATGAGTCGCTTCAGAAGCTGGCTCACCAACAGCATGGTAAGTGATTGGGTCGACCTATTGGCAGGGGTATGGCAGTCTAGGTCGCCGTGCGGCAAGTCTTAGTTGCTGTTTTTTGTTTCTTCCGAGTCTTTTATTTGGCTACTTCTGACGCACTCTCCATTGTGCTCGTTTCTGCTCTGTGTTTGCTGCTGTGGTTTCGGTTGTGCCTCCTGCACTGAGTCCTGCCAAGCGTTGGTGTTTCTCAGAGCGGTGCTGTGGGAGGGAGGACCTGTGCTCCCCAAGTTTGGTGCGAGTGAGGAGTCGTCCCAGAAACTGCCTCAGCACGACTGGGGGGGGTTTCCCTGACTGAGACCGTACCTGAAACGCTCTGACGTGCCTCCCAACGAGGAGCCATGCAAGAGAGAACCCGCCTTCCGAGGCATCTTCAAACGGCATTTCGTTGCAACGGCAGAATGGTAAGTGGCTGACGGGTCTATAGGGGGAGTCAAGTCTTAGACTCGCTTTCCGTTTCTTCAGAGTCCGTTTTCAGTGCTGCCTCTGACGAACTCTCCTCTGCGTGCTTGTGCTCCGCTGTACTGGTTGCTCTGCTTTGGGGGTCTCCCTGTCTGAGACCAAGGGACGCGAGTGAGGAGTGAGGAGTGAGGAGAGGATGACAATCCGCCTTCTGAGTCGTCTCAGAAACTGGCTCACCACGGTTGCATGGTAAGTGGTTGGGCCGGTCTATTGGGGGGGGAAACGGAGTCTAGGTCGCCGTGTGGCAAGTCTTAGAATCGAGCTAGTTTTCTTTCAAAAATGTTTCCGCTCCTGCTTCTGACGCAGTCTCCTGTGTGCTTGTTCCTGTTCTGTGCGCTCTGGTGCGGTGTGGGTGCCTGGTGGACTGAGAGGCGTGGAATGGGCGTCACATGGACAGAACGAGTTGCTCCCAGCGGTGGTGCGTCGGAGGGACGCAGTGGCGTGGCCTGGGCGAACACTGGCATGCAGAGTGAGGGAAGGAATCTTAGGAATTGAACAGGGTGAGTGTTATCCCCCTGTACCTACCCACGCTTGCCATGTTGTGCTGTCAACTTTCTCCTTTGCCTTCCCGCTTGCCATGCTCCTCTCTGCAGGATTATGTCATGTTCCTGCTCCTTACTTTCACCTTGTTTCCACATGTCATTATATCGCATGCTCCTCGTAGAATTCCCAGATAGAGTAATCCTCCATCTCTATTCCAGTATTTCTCTTTGGCATTCGCCCTCCTCACTAACATCCCCTCCTATCTGCATCGCCTTCTGTCCTTCACAGGCCAATCGAAGGCAGCAGGAACAGCAGCAGGAGTAACAGTTGTGGTGATGTTTGGGGGGTCGGCTTAGTAGCCACGGAAGTATAGGCATACGTTCGTAATTAATTGCTTGTCCATGAGAGTGGTGGTAGGTGAACTAAGGTGAAGGGATGGTGAGGCCTGGTAAGGTACTGGTAATGTGAGGTATAAAGATGCTGAGGCATGATAAGGTATGGTACGGTAAGGTACACCCACCTCGACCAGGACAAAAGAATCACCCAACACAGGAAGCAAGCTTTGCCTAGTTAGATGCTGGTAGATATACCCAAGCAGGGAGATGGACACACAGACACATGTGAGAAAGAGACCATTCAACCATGCCCACCAGAAAAGGCGACATCCAGAAAAACACGAGCGAAGCTGCACAAAACTTCGACTGCTGCTGGTGTCAATGGTAGTGTTGCTTCTGCAGCTCAGCATCTTACAGTCCTCCTAAGCTAGGGACACCGCTTGACAGCTGGATACCTGACACCCACCCACGTTACCAGCAAGTTGCAGGCTGCGCAATCTGGTTTCTAATCATGTTCGGTTCAGTGGCTCACGAATGGTATCTAGTTAAGTGTGTTATAGTGGTCCAGATGAAGTGAAGGTCCTGATGTCCTATCTGTTGGGCTGAGATAGCCCCTTAGGATCTTTGCAAGGGATAACTCTAGGTGAAGTAGTTGTAATAGCGGAAGCGTTTAGTGAAGAATTTGAACCGACCTTGCACTGGTGTGTGAGAGCAAAGTTGATTGAATTAAACAAGCAAATACAAGGATTTATATAAGAGTACAGGGAATACGAATAGATAGGTAGATAACTGTATTGCTGTTGCGGTTCGATACAGTGCGACTCGGGCAACTGCTCTGTAACGAGTCAGTTGTGTGTCCTTAACTGTCGCGCTGTGATTGTCGAGTCAAAGGTCAGCGACCTTTGACTTTCTCGTAACCTCCAGGCGGTTACCCTAACCTCCGAGGTTGACTCGATGCTTCGATTGGGACTGCTTCGCTTGGTGCCTTGGGTTTTGATACGACAGAAGCGCACTTAGGACTTATTGTTTCCAACACTCCCCTTCGCTTCTGGAGTGTCGCTGCTGGTGACGTGGCCTTGTCCAGTCAGCATCATGCAGTATTCGAACTTCTGCTTTCCGAGTTTCTTGGTCAAGTAATCGGCTGCCATCTCGGATGTTGGGCAGTATGACAGATCGAGTTTCCCTTTTTCTATCTCGTCCTTCACGAAGAAATAGCGCAGGGCGATGTGTTTCGTCCTGTTTGCGAAGCCGTTTTTGTTGGCGATGCGAATTGCCGATTGGTTGTCGCAGAACACGGTGAAGCTGGGTAACTCGGCTAGTTTCGCTTCTTCCAGTAGTTCGCGAAGGTAAAGTCCCTCCTTGGTGGCTGAGCAGAGTGCGATATATTCTGCTTCTGCTGAAGATAGTGCGATTAACTCCTGCTTGCTTGACTGCCAGGAGATAGGACCGATAGGCTCAAGGCGGTAGACATAGCCGGTGCGTGAGCGCCTGTTGTCGGTGTCGCCGGCGTGATCGGCGTCGACGTAGCCGATTAGCTTAGTCGGTGTAGCTGCGCTCTTGTGGTAGGTTAGCCCGATCGTCGCGGTGCTGACGAAGTAGTGGAGAGCGCGATCAAGTTCCGCCAGGTGTTCAGCTTCAGGCTTCTTGAGATAGGTGGCGAGCTGACTTGCGGAGTAGGATAAGTCAGGACGGCAGGTGACGGCGGCGAATAGCAGGCATCCGAGCTTCTTCTGATAGTCGCGTATGCCGGCGGGTTTAAGTAGAGTAGATTGCCCCTTTTCGGTTCCTGACGCGTAGCGATAAGGCGTGGAGATGGCGCTTGGTGTGAGACGAAAGCGTTTCGCGATAGTGTCGGCGTACTTCTCGGCGCTTAGGTAGATTGCGTTTTCTTCCTCACGGATGTTGAGCCCGAGGTATTGCGTAACCGTAGAAGAGACCGTGAGCGTGAGGTCTTTCTGGAGCTCCCCTTCGAACCACGCGGCGATGTTGTCGGTTGACCCAATGTAGAGAAGATCGTCCACATAGACGATTAATAGGACGTAATCGCCTCCTTTTGTGAGGCGATACATGCCTTGGTCATGCGGGAGTTGTTTGAAGCCGATGCGAATGAGGCGGGCGTGTAGGTACTGCTGCCACAGTCGCGGTGCCTGCTTGATCCCATAGAGTGATTTGAGTAGTTGACACACTCGGTTGGGTTCGCCGTGGGAGCCGTGCGGGAGTTCAACGAAGATTTCTGCATCCACAGGTGCGTAGAGAAATGCGTTCGCAACGTCGATCTGTCGCAATTTCTTTTTCTTCATGGCGGCGACGGCGATGAGGATTCGGAGTGAGGTGTGGCGACTGACCGGAGCGAAGGTTTCGGTGTAATCTCTTCCGTGCTCCTGGTCGAAGCCACGTACGACCCAGCGGGCTTTGAATTTGTCGATGGTGCCATCAGCTTTCGTCTTCACACGGAAGACCCATTTTCCGGTAAGAATGTTTTTATTTTGAGTTACGCCGATGGGAACAATTTTCCAGGTGTTGCGCTCCTCCAGTGCCTTCAGCTCTTTGTCCATAGCTTCACGCCATTTCTCCCTGTGTTCCCCCCCCAGAGCCTGCTGAACCGTCGCAGGCTCCTCAGGAATGCCGGCGCCATGGACTGCGGTGACGAGACCAAGGATTTGCAGCCCAGTCTGTGAGTATCGAGGGAGTTCTGGATCCTCGGGATAAGCTGCTTCGTCTCCCGTTTCTGGGTCGGGCATGAAATTTGGCCCTACCCTTTCTGCTTCGTTGGTGTTGACTGTCACAGGTGTTATGTAACCATCGTCGGCGAAACGGTAGAAGATTTCGGCGTTGTTACTGTCGCGAGGATTATCCTCATCCATGGGCACGTCGACGGAGCAGTATGGGAGAGGTCCGGCTTCTTCTGAGGCGTTGTCGACGTTCTGTTCATCCCAGTCTGCTTCGTCCGCTGCTGACGCGAAGGCTCGGTCACCACGAAAACCACTGGTGAGGTCCCGATTCTCGTGCAAGTTGGCGAGGTATGTCTGAAGGGTGAGTCTTTCGTAGAAGATCACGTCACGTGCTGCTACTGTTTCCTTTGTGTGGACGTCGAAGATTTTCCATGCGTTGTAATTTTTCTCGATGCCGAGGTGTAGTCCCCACTGTGCCCGTTGCGAAAATCTTCCCGCTCGTGCTTCTGGGGGTCTGTACTGTACCATGCACCCGAAAACTCGTAACATTTTCGTGCTGCCCTGCTTCCCTGTCCACAGCAGATGCGGTGATGCGTTGTTCGGGAGTGACGACGACGACAACAAGTTGTGCAGCATGACAGCGTGGTCCATTGCTGCTGGCCACTGGTGGTTGGGTAGCCGCATGCCACGTAACAGTTTGCGCATGCTGTTCTGCAGGGTCCTGTTCAGTCGTTCTGCAACACCTTGCTGCTGATGTGCGTAGGGAAGGGAGAGGAGTTGCTTGATCCCCCTTTCCGCCAAGAACTGCTTGAAGCGCTGAGAGGTGTACTCGCCACCTCCGTCTGACTGGAAATTTTTCAGTTGTGTTCCGGACTCTCTCTCTGCTATCGGTAGCCAGGCGGCGAATGCTGCGAGCGCCATGTCGCGGCTGGGTAGGTTGCGATGCCAGACGTATCGAGTAGCAGCGTCGATGAAGGTGATGGTGTAGTTGTAGTTGACTTGTCCTGGTTCGCGATTGTAGAGGATGTCGCTGTAGACTTTTTCGAGTGGTGCGTACGCTGGAGCGCTCGGGTTGTGATGTGAAGCAAACGGTCGATGAGGTAAGTCAGCTTCGGGACATATAAGGCAAGTCCCTCGTGCCTTCTGGAGTTCTCTGCCATCGGGTAGAAGTAGAGAGTCTTTGTCGAGGACTCCTGCTCTTATCGTGTTATTCAAAACTGTGTTGCTTGGATGTCCTGTGCGTGCGTGCCAGATCTCTTCAGAGGCGCGGTGTCCGGGTGAACGCTGATATGCGTCGGAGTTGGAGTAAAAGCTGGCGACGAGGTTGGCGCTTCGGTGGACTTCACGCTGAGTCGGATTCAGCTGTTGCGCGAGTGTTGGTGGTGCTTCGTCGACTGTGACTGGTGTCGTTGTTCCTGCTGCTGCTGATGTTGTTGCTGCTGCCGATGTTGTTGCTGCTGTCGATGTTGTTGCTGCTGCCGATGTTGTTGTCTCTGCTTCTTGTTGAATTGTTGCTAACGCTCTTGTTCGTTCTGCTTCAGGGATAGTGTGGGAGTACCAGAAACCTCCCGGGCTGAAGTCGGGATCGAGATCCGGAGGGTGTGTCCATTCAGCAAAGTTCACAATGGCGTCGCTGTCTGCAGTGCCGAGGTCGGGAGCGAAGTCGAGGACGAAGACGTTGTTCTTCAGCACTGCTTTCCCGATGTAGAGACCGCCTCTTCCGTGGTAAAGCTTGAACTCCTGGGTCGTGCTGTCGGCTTCCAGATGAATTCCTTTCGCCATCAACTGGCTAACGCTCAGTAAGTTGTAGCCGAGTCCTTCAGCGATGAGTACCTTAGACATGTGCAGTATGACATTTGTTTCTCTTGACTGAAGCTGTACCACTCCTTGTCTTCGTGTGCGCAGGTTTTGGTTGTTGGCAACCGTGATGATCACTTCCCGTTGGAGTCGATGTTCGCGTTGTACGAAACGCCCGGACGAGCACATGTGTTGCCCGCAGCAACTGTCCAAGAACCAGGTGTCTTGGCCGGACGGTTCACTTTGAGCGATGGCGGCGTACGTTGGATTCGGCTGGAGTAGCTCACGGCGAGGTGTTCTGTTGTCAAGCTCTTCTTCCGGTGAGTAGTGTGGTGGTGATTCGGTTGTACATGAATCGGTTATCTTCGTCATGCAGTTGATTATATTTCTTGCTCCTTGTGCAGGTTGTCCAGTTGAGGTCGTTGAAGCTTGAATCGTGGTTGTCGAACTTGCTTGTGTCGAAGCAACTTGTGTGCTTGAAGGCCGCAGTTGTCGCTGTGGTGTTGTCTGTCGAGACGGGCAGTGCGAGCGTGGGTGTCCTGATGTCTTGCA